CATCTTTTTCATTTCTGCCATTTATGTCAAATAAGTTTTTATTCATTTATCTGTTGTCTTTAGTAAAATATCTGCTCAAATCAAGTCTTTAGGCAGACTTTTGAGAGTTCAAATCCATTTTTTCCTATCAATTTTCCAATGAGGTTTGACTATGCTTAGAAATGTCACTTGGCTCTAGTTCTGGAGAGACCATTTCCAAGTAGTTTTCCAAAGAGTTTATCAAACAGCACATGAATCAATAACAATTCTGGCAAATTACTCCACCAGTTTAGAAGGACAAATTCATATGTACCATAAACCATTTCAACTTCAAAAGAAAAAAAAGAGAAAATCACATTGTCAAAAGCTCTGTCATCTAGAGATCAGCATTATTGATGTTTGGGGAGTATATTTTCAGACTTTTGCATTTTCTGAACAATCAAAATAAGCTGACAACTCATGATGCCATTTTGTACTTTCAAGTTATGATCAATAACCTTTCATTTTATTTATCTTCATTACCATTTTAAAGCCAGCATTGTTAACCTAGTGTATGTGTGTATATCTTTACTATTAGTAGCTTCTCTACTAATAGATATTGTTTGCTTCTATTAGCAAAGGTTTAATAAATCTTATAAGGATTGTTTTAGGGATTTTTTGTAATTCTTTTCTTAGCTTAAATATCTGGAAGGATTGCTGAACCAAAATTCATACACATACATGTATATAAGTATATATACACTAACATGCACAAACATAGTTGTATTAGTTTGTTGATATTTACAAGTTGCCATTTATAAAGGTTGTGTCCATTTATATTCTACCAACATTGACTGTAAAATTCTAAAACTTCTCTCCTTGGCTTGCCTTTCCAACAAGCTTTAATTTCTTCCCTTTTAAAGATGGGGACACAGCCACATGGTGGTTATGCACACCTTTAAACCCAACAAGTGGGTGACAGAAGCAGGTGGATCTCTGTTCAGGGCCAGCCTGGTCTACAGAGTGAGTTCCAAGACAACCAGAGCTGTTACACAGAGAAATCCTGTCTAAAAAGAAAAAAAGAAAAAAAAAAAGAGATGGAAACACATAAGTCAAAGCAACTTATTATTATTTTACAATATTTTCAACCACGGTCTGAGGCAAGTTGCAGAAGTCAGTGAGGCTGGGTCAGTAAAAGTCTTGTAAAATGTTCAGTACATTTCCTGAGAATGTGGTGGCTTCAGTGACTTCATAATCTGATGGTCTGGCCTCATCACTAACAATGTTGACCTTGAACAGGGAATGAGAACAACTAATACACAGATGGCTTTTATCTGTGGATGGAGAAAGCAAGACTTCTGAGAAAAATGAAGACCATTTTCTGTCATATGTCCAAACTACGCAGTTGGAAGGTTATGACATACAAGTTGAGCATAAAGCAAGTCCCACTGGCAAAAGTTAGAAGTTGATTGTAAATTGGAGGCTATTGAAGTTTAGGATCATTTGAATACTCCCCTCTTTTTTGATTTGACCAAGCAATGGAATACATCATTTAGATTGTGATATGGAGAAAAAATGACTTACATTGACACATTTCCAAATTTGAAACTTCAAAAAAAATTATCGTTAATTTGAGCTTATTTTTTAGTGCCCAACAGAAATTTGACTTAATGCACATGTCTATCTTTTTTTCCAAATGACATTCGTATATTTTTGTTTATAAGTGTCCCCAGATGGATTAAGCAACACAATGACTAAATGCAAATTGTAAACTCTAGTGATTAGGAAATATTTATCATTTGCCACCTAAATTTAGACAAAAGTTTCAGTTACAATATGCATTTTGTTTCTTTCTACCTTTTTGAGTAGATTTTTCTCAATGCTATTTAGCAATTTAACTGCTCCCTTTGCCCCCGTTTTAAATCAGTATCCTCCAAATTTTTCCTTGATTGTAGAAAATGAATTCGAAGTTTTTCAAACTGCTAATTTGTTTTTTGAGTTCTGAAAGTTTTATAACTTTCAACTTTGGTGAGTGTTAGGACTCACAGTGGAAATTTTTAAGTACTGTACATTGGTGTCTTAAAAGTACAATAACAAAATGCCTCATAATCTGTGGCTTTGGCCTCTTCTAGTCTAGCCTCATTGAGTTTCTCTGCACCAGTACAAACTCTGAGGTAAATTTCCAAAGTTGGCTACAGAAAAAGGTGAATCAGGAAGTTCCAGTTCAGTTGTAACTTTGGAAAAATTGCTATTATCTTGGTATCTTTAAGATCAGGAAGTTGACTTAGAAACTTCATGAAGGCCCCTCAAATACAAAATTATGTGAAAATAACAAATGGTGTATCAAATAATCCAGGTGTGGTGAGCATTGCCTTTAACCCCAGCAGGCGCACCTTCTTGAGTTTGAGATCAACTCCGAGTTCTAGGCCAGCCACAGATACATTGTGAGATCCTGTCTCATAACAAGCAAACAACATGCCCCAAATAGCCTTGGAGTTTGTGACTGTCGTCCTAGCCAAGCATACTCCATCAAGTGGAGTTCAGCTATACTGTCTTGTAAAAGGATTATCTCAGCAGGTAGAGGGGTGTTTCCAGCTGCTCCCACCTGCTGTGACCCTGCTCATGGCCTCCTGGAGGGACTAGAATAAATATTGATGGAGAAGATGAGAGGAGTGGGGCTCCATCCATGAAGCCACAGCAGAGAAGCCTTCATCCCTGGTGGGCAAATGCTTTCCAGGGGTGGCCTTTTGGCAGAGGAGCACACACAACCCTTTAAGACCTCACCTATGCTCTGTAAGGAGGCCCAATAAACTCGTTGGCTCTCCAAAGTCAACTATGGTGGAATCATGCCTCCATTTGTCCTTGGGGACCCTAGGAAAAGTGGTACAGTGGTTTATATTTCCCCTGGGATGAAATTTAAGCAATAGGCTCAAGAGATGACTCAGCGGTAAACATCGCTTGATATTCTTCAGAGGACCCAAGTTCCAGCACCAGCCCGGTTCTTTGCTGCAGCTTTGGGCAATAAAACATGATCCACCAAACTCAACAAACCCACATGGAGTTTACTGGGAAAGGGAGCGAAAGGAGGGGGTAGGTATTAACCGATTGGGAGCAGAAATGGAAAGAGTGAGAACAGGCAGAAAGCACTTGTTTATAAAGGGAATGGGAGCAGTTTAGAATGAGTCTCAGCAGTTTGAGCTGTTGAAAGCTGCTGTTGGCCCAGCTCTGCACGGCTCCAGTTCAACATGGTTTCTGCATGCAGAGCCCTTAAGTAGCCACCTAACGCATGCACAACACAGCCATGCTACTTTTGACAGCTTTTGAGCTGTCAGTGAGGAGTGTTCACCTGTCAAAGATGGATCCCTGGGTGAGGGAAGTTAACCTGGAGAAGAGCAATCCCATGGTGGGGAGAGAGCCGGAGGATTAGAGAGGCCCTGTGAACAGGAAAGGTTCTCTAAGAAGGCCCAGGCCCAGGAGAGGGCTTGTGCTGAGTGACAGGCAGGTGCTGAGGAGAAACCACTGGGGCAGGAGGACAGGAGTCAGGAGCAGGAACAGGGCCAGGTTGCCCAGAACCCAGGAGAGGGAAAAGCCACGATATCAACAGCAATCAACGTGGAGGCACACAACCAACCACCTGTAACTCCAATACTAGTGAGTTATTTCTGATGGCACCAGGCATGCATGTGGCACACAGAGAGACATACACTTATATACATAAATAAAATTCAAAATTGTGTGAAATAAAAATCTATACTTTTAGAATCTCGACTAAAAAATTCATGAAAACAAAAGGGGCCTATCTGGGATGAGGAAGGGGATCAGTAGAATGGAAAAAAAAAGGGTGATGGGCAATGAATATGACAAAAATATATTATATGCATATACTAAGATGTTATAATGAAACCCATTTTTGCATAATATATGCTAATGCATTATTTAAAAGCTAAAAAATATTACACTATTTTTGTTAGGCATTTTTCTTACAATCTTAAGCCTAAAATTTTGAAAACCCTGGTGACTATGCACAAAAATGTAGTCAGGATTTGCCATGCAGAAGAAAAAGTTCAGAGTATTTCTGCCTCTGAAATCCTTAGAGGATTAATTCTCTAAGCCGCACATCTGTCTTGTGAGCCTTTTGTCTATAAGCCCAAGAGTGGAGCGGAGAAGGCTCTACTTATTTTACATTGGCCACTCAGTGAAGGCTCAAAGGTGTCTAGTCTCTCCCATACTTTCTGGCAGGTTCTCTTTTGTCTCCGGACTGGCTCTCAAAGGTGCTACTCTTTGAAATGATCGGCTGCTTCCACATAAAGGGCTGTACCAACAGCAGTTGCATGTTAGGGTCTTGGAATTTCTCTTCCAACTTTACCCTCTTTCACCTGGCTCTAGCACAGATTCGCAGCTGGGGTAGGAAGTGAGTGAAGGCACTCGAAGGGCCATTTAGCATCCTTGTCAGAAGCTGGGGGAACTGCAGGAACAGCCTGAGGCGCCCCAGCACCAAGGCTGGCCGAACCTCACAACCGATAATGATGGGGGAAACTGCCTCAGGAAACTCCCCGCATCCGCACACCCAGCCGCACACCACCGTGGTCTTCTCTG